CGGGGCCTGGGAAACCGGTTTCCTCCGCTTCCTCCTCCCTTCCGGGTCTCCTCCAGCCGCTGCGGCTGCTGCAGGGTGGCGGCCGGTCCTGGGAACTCAAGTTTTGTTTTTTTTTTTTATAAAACTCGAGTCCGATCCGGTCTGATCCAGTTTTGAGCCTGCTGTCTATACTGGTTTGAGCCAGATTGATCCGGTTTTGAAGCAGTCTGCACTGATTTGATACAGTTTGATTTAGTTTGATCCAGTTTGATCCAGTTTTGAACCCGTCTACACTGGCTTGATCCAGTTTAATCGGGTTCTGATCCAGTTTCATCCGGTCTGATCCACTTTCATCCAGTTTTGAACCCGTCTACACTGGTTTGATCCACTTTGAACCAGTTTGATCTGGTTTTGAACTCTCCCCCAGGGATGGCTGTATGGAGAGCCCTTGCTCACTGATTCCGGTTTCCCTCAGCCTCACCCGTTGTTTTCCTGTTGTCCTGGGGAACTCTGACTTTTTTATGGCCCAGAATGAAACCGCCTAGAGAGGACAGCTGTTCCGTTTATTTAAATTCAATTAAAATTAGAATAAATTCATTTTTTTGTTAAATCAAGTTAAAATCACTTGAAGTTCTAATTACGGTAAATAAAAATTAAATTAAAATTCTGATTGCATTAAATTAAAATTAAACGAGAATTCTACTTACGTTAAATTAAAATTACGTTAAATTAAAACTTTAAAATTCTGATTGCATTAAAATTAAATTAGAATTCTACTTACACTGAACTAAAATTAAGTAACTTCTAATTACACGACATTAAAATTAAATAATTCCGTTTAGACCCAGGTCTCCGACTTTACAGTTCAGCCCGTGTTCCCAGCACTTGGAAGGTGCGGCCTGGATGAGTGTGCAAGGACAGAAAAATAGACGCCATCATTTATTTCTTAGGGCCGGTTTTGGACATCCCGCATGTGGCCATTATAAATAAATATAAGTGTATATTTTTAAATTATATAAATTATAGCTTATTTATATATATAA